AAAAACCATTAAAAAACATGAAAAACCATGAGCAACCATGAAAAAAACAATGAAAAACCATGAAAAACCATGAAAAACAATGAAAAACCATGAAAAACAATGAAAAACAATGAAAAACCATGCAAAAACAATGAAAAACAATGAAAAACCATGAAAAACCATGAACAACCATGAAAAACAATGAAAAACCATGAAAAACCATGAAAAACAATGAAAAACCATGGAAAACCATGGAAAACCATGGAAAACCATGGAAAACCACGAAAACAACCATGAACAACCATGAAAAACCATGAAAAACCATGAAAAACCATGAAAAACCATGAAAAACCATGAAAAAACAATGAAAAACCATGAAAAACAATGAAAAACCATGAAAAACACATGACAAAACCATGAAAAACAATGAAAAAATCAGGAAAAACAATGAAAAACCATGAAACCACCATGAAACCACCATGAAACAACCATGAACAACCATGAAAAAACCATGAAAAAACCATGAAAAAACCATGAAAAACAATGAAAAACCATGAAAAACAATGAAAAACAATTGTTTCCTGGTAGATGTTCCCTTCAAATCAGACTTCGGTGCGGATTGGGTGCCCGAGGTGCGCCACTTGACGGATGAAGACTTCACAGTGGCGGTGGTGAATGCCGGTGCCAAAATGGACGTGCTGATGGCATGGCAAAAATGGATCAAATGGTAATATAGGTGTGGAACAAAGACCCTGAAAATCGCCAATCTTTACTGGGAATCCATCTCCAACCTCCATTCGGAATGGCTGGGTCGATGTTAGCTGGGGGATGGTATGTGGGATCAAATGGCAATTTCGTGTGGGAAATAATGGGATGGATAGATATGTTATTAAAATATGATTTTTGTACAGTTTAGTCTGCCTGAAATGGCAATTTCAATGGCAATTTCAATGGCAATTTCGTAGAGCTGTTGCAAGCTGAACCTCTTGTACGCACGTTTTCTGCTGTGAAGAATCTGCGAAATCTTCGAACATCGGTGAGTCACTACCTTTGCCGCCCTGAAAAAATGGTACTGTCTCATATTATTTATTTGGGGATGCACACAGCTACAGCAGTTGTCTGCTGTGGCAGGTGAGGGGCTTCAGTATCACCCTTTGCGCCCTTGTGGCAAGGTGGGGTAAACGGGCACACAGGGACACATTTGGGCCAAATCATCAAGCACTGGATAAGTAGATGACTCCATAGGATTTACAAAGACAAACACATACAATTTTCAATCATACTGTATACAAGTGGTCATCTCTAAGACGGATGCGGATCTGGAGAAAAGATAGCAGCAACTAGATGTTGTCATAGCCCTAGACTTGGTTGATGGGAACATGCCCAAGAAATTCCAATATTTGGGGGCAAGACCCATCTCCAGAAATCCCCTGAAACCAAGGCATTGAATCAGTGAATATCCCCTTGTTGTTGATGGTTGCACATGGTTACACCCCCATGGTTCATGCTGTAACAGGGTCATCCCATTTCCATTTCGCAGCCAAGGCGCCTCGACCAGAAATGCCCGAGCGCCAGTGCCCATTAGTGACTTGCCATGGAATTCTGCCAATATTTTAAGCGATTTTGCCCTGCAATTAGAAAGCGAAGAGTGAAACTGTATCCATGTTTTTATTCCCCCTCGAAACTTGAAACCATTCAGAATCATTTTCAAGTCCACATAGTCCACTAATTTCGAGGCGATGGTAGGAGCTATCTGGGTTTGTAGCACAGCTGGCCTCGAAAATCCGTAGCTCAAAATCCGCTGAAACTCCGAGATTTTGTGCGACGTGCCGTGGCGTCGAGTCACGTGTGGCACGCCTGAATCTCAGTCTGCAGGTGATCTGGATCAATTTTAGTGCTATCCTCTGGTAATTCAACAAGGCTCTGGAAGATGGCCCATTTCGTTTTGATGATTTACCTGGTTTACCTATTGAAAATGCTGGATCTTTCATGATCTTTCCATAGTTATGTTAGTTTACCAGAGGGTAATGATCATGGGAATAAATCTAGTATGGGATATATATATATATATATATGTGATATATAGAATCATATCATATTCCATGTGATATTCCCATATATTTCCCATATGTTTGATGATTTACCGGTTTTTCATGAGGACTTTCCAGGTCGCGTTACGTGGGTTTTTCTGAGGTTTTGGTATCTGCTTTTCAGGCAGCTGATGCGTCCGTCCGAGTCCAACGGCTCCAAGCTTTTGCCGCGTAGCGGCATGGTTTCTGGGGGTGAAACCATGGTGCCAGGGGTGAAGAGTTTGTGTTGGAAATTGAAAATGGTTGGAAGATGTTGAAATCTGTTCAAACATGTGGAAGAAACCATGAAGAAACCATGAAGAAACCATGACTTTGGGGATAAACGAAGACCTTGGCTTCCTTAAATCAGTCTGTTTTGCAGTTTTAAGCGAGCTTGCCAGGTACAGTACCCTGCTGCCAGCGCAAGTCTCAGCTGTTTTGCCATCTGGGAAATGTGGAGAAAAATGGCCGGAAGGCTTAGGTAATTAGGTGATGCTCCACTGACATTCATTGATCCCGTAGATGACATGCCTTTAAAAATTTTAGATACGCAGCTCAAATCCAATGTGGCAATTTCTCAAAATTGAGGGAGTCACGCTGAATTTATGGCCATTCAATGGCGCAATGGGGAAGTGTCAAAATTTGATGGTTAATCATTGTTAATCATTATTATCATTGCCTCCCCTTGGGAAAATAGATATATCCCGCCATTTTCAGACTGACTACACTGTACAAACATCATATTTTAATATATTTTAATAACATATCCATCCATCCCATTATTTCCCACACTAAATTGCCATTTGATCCCACATACCATCCCCCAACCAACATCGACCCAGCCATTCCGAATGGAGGTTGGAGATGGATTCCCAGTAAAGATTGGCTATTTCAGGGTCTTTGTTAACTTACAGGAGGGTAGCCCCCTGGGTTCCCACAATTTATATCCTGTCTGTGCAGACAAAGCCACATCATCCGCGCCATTCTGAGATGCTCAAGAAGCAGCCCCTGGCAGTCAGTTTTGGGCAGGAGCCGGAAGGTCGCAAGCTGAAATTCCAAGGGCTGCAGGGTATCGGGCTTGTGGTGATCGAGCTTGTGATGATGGTGATGATGATGATGATGATGATGATGATGACTCTTCTTCTTATTACTATTGTTACTATTATTATTGTGTGTGTGTGTTTTTTTTAATCAATTGTTATTATTTATATTTATTATATATTATGATCATTTCATTAGTACTATTAGTATACTTACGTAATTACCATTATTATTACTACTATTTTCTCCACCACTACCACCACTACCACCACTACCACCATCAACACCATCATCAGCATCAGCATCAGCATCAGCATCATCATCATCATCATCATCATCATCATCATCATCATCATCATCATCATCATCATCATCATCATCATCATCCATCATCATCCATCATCCATCATCCATCATCATCATCATCATCATCGTTATTAAATTACATCTTATCATTATATATGGGCATTATTATCACTATTCTCATGGTTGTTATTGCGGTTGTGTATTTACCAATAAACATGCTCATTTTAAGATGACCCTCGCCTGGATGCCAAGGCTGGGCGGACTTTTCCGCCGTCCCGGTATCAGGGGACGGATCATTTATGCACCCTGGTGGCACGTGGCCATTTGCGGCATAGAATGATGGTGAATTTACGATGTTTACCAAAGGTAACTACCCCAAAATGGCCGAAGAATTCTGATCACCATCCAGGATGGGTTGGAAGTCAGAGCCTCTCGCAATGGCAGATAGGATTGTCACTTCGAGTATGGGCTGGGTCCAACATGACAGGGTGGGGGCCCTCAAATGAAAGGCCGGACTTTTCAGGTTCGAGATTGATCATGATGGGTCGTGACTGACTTGGTGTGGTCAACTTTATTGCACTTTTCAGGGGGAATGACAGTTAACCACTGGCCACTGGCTATTTTCTGGACAAACTAGTCGCATTTTTTCGCAATGATTCGTGCATTTTTTTCGCGACGATTTGTATCATTCTTTGCGACATGCTGTGTCTTGTCTGTGGCATTGATCAATGGACCAGCCCGGTCCCATTTCTACACACGAGCCTTTTCCCGCTGTGGCTTCTTAACCTGGCGAGTATCGATTGCAATGCACAAGTCATACTAGTAGGGGCCGTTCTGGCAGAGGGAGGACTTGGGACGCGATGCAAAAAGGCGCGAGGAAAAAGCAACAACTTGTGGACACGAGTGGTTGACTGTCAGGCAATGCATTCAGCATGCGGTGTGGGGCCCTGGCATGGCTTTTTGGATGCTTTTGGAATTCACATTTGGTATAGGGTGCCCCCAAGGTCAGCGGTTCATCATCATTTTCCCTATGAAAATTGCTGTTTGGGGGCATATAACTTTTCAGACACACCCAGATTTTGCCATGGTTGATTTGCTTTATTTGGGTTGAAATGACGTCTTGAGAGCTTCCACATGCCGGCAGGTTCGCTTTTCCCTGCGAGCTGCTGGCGCAACAGCGGAGACGGCAGCATGGGCGCAGGCCTTGCGGGCCATTGCGGGTAGCAAAAAAACTCGGTGTTTGGGAAGGGGTTACCGGTTACCCTCTGGTAAACATACAAAAAGCTATGGAAAATGGCCATAGAAATAGTGAGTTTTCCCATCAAAAATGGTGATTTTCCATAGCTATGTTAAATTACCAGAGGGTACCCCCCAATTCCTCAAGAAGGGTGTATTCCAGGATTGAAGTTGGATGTTTTTAGAACCCATGGAACATCTATACATAAACCCATCATAGATAGCAAGTGGCCTTGCATCACCAGAAGGACAAATCCTCCAGAATTTCTTTCTGGGTGTGTTGTTTTCTCCTGAGTGACCGTCAATGTTCTGAAGAACTGATTGAACCGCTCCCACAATGTTTCATGCCCAAACATCTGGGCGCCTGACAGTCTCGCTACTTGCAAATGCACGGCAATGGAGAATGGCAGTCACATCGGCCAAACAGATCTACAACAGTGTACTCGTGAAAGTCACCTTGCCATTGGCCACGGACAACGACGCTTGTAGAAGCAACCGATCTCCGCCATAGAAAGTTCGGTCACCGCGGCATGGCATTGGGTCTAGCTGGAAATGCTGAGAAAGCTGCTGCGAATATGTGCTGGGGTGACAGTTGCCATTTTTCTTTTGAATTGTCGGAGGCGGGGGCAGGGAACGGATGGCAAAGGGGGATCCTCTCCAAGGAGATCCCAAGAGCATCATTTTCTCAGGGATCCTCCCTACCCATCCCTAATCACTAATCGTGGCCATTGACATAGCTTCACAAGCTTGAGTATGAAAGGGCCAGCATATGCCACCTACTTAGGGGGTAACTCCACCAAAATGGCCATCCTGTACCAAAGGGCAACCATTGTCCTTCAGGGCTGCGCGTGCCATGTGAGGTCATATCTACTCACCCGCGATGCTTTTGGCTTTGACGATGAAGAGGATGATGGCCCCGCCATGCTGATGGATGGAGGAATTGTCGATTCCAATGATTCCAGCTCCAGACAAACCCCAGGTGAGGATACTGGGGGAACGGACACTAGAAAGAAAGATCCAGATATATCCAGATATATCCAAACACACACACACATTGGTATATATATATATAATATATATATAATATATATAATATATATATATACAGATGCGTGTAGTGAATCTGGCATAGTCCACTTGTGTCGTGGTTTGGGGAATTTGGCAAATGGCACCTGCAGGCATCACTGCTGGTGGTTTTTTCTTGCACCAGCTGAGTGCCAAAGCTCCGGGCTGTGAAGGCCGGATGCTTAGGAAGCTACAGCTTTCTTCAACTCACATGGCGGCGTAAGTCGTGGTATCAAACTGGTCCAGGAACCACCGGAGTTTTCAACTGTGTGATTCAACCAAAGACAACGGAAATCACAATGCTAACTCTGAGAACCAGTCTGCTGCTGGTAGGCTTCTGCTGCAACATGGGTGACAAGGACGGACAAAGCGGGCAAGTCGGACGACTGTTTGCGTGTTGCAATGAGATCGAAGCAAGGATGGAAAGCAACAGGACGAACCTAACTAGCCGTAACTAGCCACCAGCAGCTACTGACAAGGCCGTGTGCCTCGTTGTGCTCTTGCAGACTCTTGCACCTTGACAGGAAGTGCAGTGCCTCGATGTGGAAAGCTGCGCTGCCATCGGATCCAATGGGAGCAATGCCGCGTTACCGCGGCCACGCTATGCCCTGGTGCTGAGTCACTACGGCGTGCCAACCAACAGGCTCCTGCAGTCCATCAAGTCAATGCAGGCTGCAGCACTGGCTGCTGGTGCCGACATTTTGGTGCCATGGTTGTTTCGAGGGTTGCAAGTTTTAGTATCCAGCAGCTTGGATGGGATTTGGAAAGCAGTACGATCACTCGGGTCTTCCATACACTGCATAGAGCTTCCACACGCTTCAGGTGCTAATGATGCAGGACCATGCGGATCAGATGAGTTACAGATTGCAGAGGCGCTTGAAGAAATGGCGTGTGAAGCTTGGTTTTGGATGTTTTGGCAGAATTTGGTCGGATTCCGCGAGGCAATTCTTTTTTTCCTCACCAAAGGTGTTCCCTTGATCTCCTTTTCCGGTTCGCAGATGCCAAGGAAGGTGCACCTAGTCCCCTGGGCCCTGCCACCGGGGATGATTTATATCAAGAAGGTCACCAAATACGATGGCTGGTGCGGCAAGATGGATCCTGGCTGCACTGCACGGTGTGTTTGGGTTGGATCGTAGTGTAATATAGTGTCATAGTGGGGGGAATAGGCGATGACTAGATGATTCACCAATCCTTCTCATTCAATCCAGGAATGCCAAACGACAGTGTGTAGCACATCATCCAGCACAACGGCCCACCACGTTCTCGATATGGGTCTGATTTTCAGAGAGCACCCCCGGATTCGCCACAAAAACACAGATCTTTTTCCTGATTTCATCGCATTTTATCAAGGCCCCATTGGTTGGTGGTGAATCTTCCACTGAGGACTTCATTCGACTCCATGCCTTGGCCTTGGAGGGCTACGATGCCATCGCATACTACGATGCGGACTGCGAGTTTCAGGTGCGGATCGTGGGAAACCATGGGAAACCATGGGAAACCATGGGAAACCAAGGAAAACACCATTGGAATATGATGGAAATTGATGGAAGATGTGTGAACATGTGCTGAATATTACTGATATTATATGATATTATGAGAAACGCCAGATTCTACATCCTGACTTTTGATGACTCGCAGACTTATCCGCCAGAAACATCACTATATTCGCCAGTGACACAGCCAGGGAGATATCCTGCCGGTCCTGCAGTGTGCATCTCAGGGCTATTTCTTAAGCACCAGCCCCTCGGTTTCTTGAAAAAGGCAGGAGGTACCACCTGAAACCATGAGACTTGTGTGTGTGTGTAACATCTGAACAGATGTAAAACTTCTTTGATTCTAATCTTTTCACTTTGGCGGGGGACCTTTTCACATTTGCAGGGGGACTGGAGCCGATTTGCCTATCCAGTCCAACGAAGCTATGGCATTTCGGTGGATGAGTGGTCTGATCAACCACTTGTACCTGCAGAACTCAGTTTGAACTGTTGAACAAGCTGTCATGTTGCTGCACTGTTGTCGCAATCTGGAATCAAATTTGGTCATTTACGGTTACTTAAACTGCATCAGAACCTTCCTCAGATTTTCGCCGAAACCATGTCGCCGACAGTATTATGATTTTTTGACATATTTTCGCCGAGATCATGTCGCCGATGAACTTTGGGTCATTTTGGGAAACAATCGCTGAAACATTATTTTGGATTCTCAACATGCTGGTCAAAACTTTATGGACTCTGATTAAAACTACGTTTGACAATATTGGATGCCCTACATCGTTTTCGAGAAGTACCTCATGTGGCTCCTTTATTAATCTAACGATCTAGGCTGGTTTGCATGTTTCAGGATTCAGTTCCTCCCGGATCATATAATGATCCATTCTTGTCTAGTGTGATTTCCATGGTGGCTCCGACATGGTGCCATGGAGCCATTTGAGGCAACCCTTTTTAGGGTGAGTGTCGACAGTCTGGAATTCTGAATTCACACATTTTAATTTGGTAATTCATCTAAGTAAATCGCAACAGTTGGCCGCGCGGTTTTGCACCTTTGCTGACGTCCCGCGGCTCCTGTGGTCCCAGGGATCCTAGTGTTTTGCACTCTGTCAAGTGAAACCATGCCGAACTGCCAGAAACCTCCTTTTCGCAGCTGCTTTTGACGATTCATGACAACAGCATTCGATACAGGAAACAGGCAGGCCCACGTCTTGCAGGTGTGGTATTCTTTCTTTTTGGTTTTCTGGTGAGGTGAAACATGTTGTGCACCCAATTCGCTGGAACTTGAAAGCCGTTTATGCCAATTGGGGCTTGACTTGACCACGGTCCCGGTGCAGGGAATAATCGCACGACCTTTAGGCATTTAGGGACTGAATCCTGCATGTGATTTCTCCTTTCTGTTTTGTTCTACTCGAGCGATGTATCCGTGGACTACTCCTCCGACGTCATGGCCTGCCCCACCGCAGCCTACGACTCCGTCCTCGACGTGGCCGCAATCATCGCAGAGCGCACATCTATTTGGACATCCCTCGCCATTGCACCCTACATGGTCTTCATCAGCCCCAACTTCACTGCCATTTACCTCATTGCCTTCGGGCCCTCATGCAGTACCAGGCCCACAACTTGTGCCCACTATGCCCACACCTATGGCTCCTGAAACCACCCTGGTGCACACCGCTCCACCGACTTTTCCGACTCCTACGGCACCCACCGCTCCACCCACGTGGCATTCTCCTCCAACTCCATCACCTACGTCGACTACACCACCTACATCGACTACGCCACCGACACCTTTGCAGAGTTCTCCATACCCACCTCACCACATTCAACCTCCACAACCGACGGACGCAGCGATGGTCCCTCCAGATGAACCTCCACCACCAGCATTTAAGGCAGCTCCCAGGCTTCGCTTTGACAAGAAAACGGACAGACCACGTCGATCAGCTCCGAAAGCCTCTCCTCCTGCTACACCACCGGCGCCAACGGCGGCACCGACTTCATCCGTCTCACCTGAAGTTGCAGCGCTGGGATCCACTGCACAACAACTTGCGGAATCGGTTCGACTTATTCAAGCTCAACAACAATTGATCATGGATTCCCAACGAGCCCAAGAACAACGTCAGCTACTCCTCCAACACGATGGACCTCCAACGAACCCCATTCCACCGACACCATTGCCTACAACAGCTCCACCACCTATTGCCATGCCTCCACCTGCACCGAAAGCCAGACCCACCGAACCTGACGTTCCGGACCCTCGCATCATCCCAGTTCCAGCCATCGCTCCTCCTCACCACCTACATGCTCAACCATCACCAACGCGCCGACCACGATCCAGGACTCCAAGATCACGTTCCCGTCGACCTTCTGTACAATCCCATCATCATCGCTATTCTCCCCAACGTGCAGCTCGACCTCGTTCTCCTCTTCCTCGTTATCGGTCATCCACGAAACATCCCAAGGACCGCAGAACCCCGTCACCATACAGACGAAGATCACCGCCAAGACGCCGCTCTCCCGTGGTTCCTCGACGTCATCGATCTCACCCAAGACCACGTTCCGCGACACCACGTCACCGATCCAGAGGCCGTGAAGTCGTACTTCGACCAGCTGCACACCCATCCAATCCAGCCTACATTCCCACTCCCGACGCTGATGACACCTGGGGCACATGGAACGACAGCCATTACACCGACAACTACCACCACAACACTGCTCGACCCAACTCTCCTGCCGATCCACCACCACCGGAACCACCTACCAACCCACCAGCCCACACTTCAGCACCACTTGGCGCTGTGTCCTTCCGCGTCCCCGACGGCGACAGTGAAAATTCTGAGGTGGCAGATACAATTTCGATCTCAAAGTTCGACACGAATGACATCGACCTCAGTGAAATGGTTGAGGCGGCCAATGATCCCCTTAGGGTCCGCTGCTTGACTGAGCTTGGCCCCGACCATGTCGTGCCCCTACGCCAATCATTGACCCCGGCCATCTCGCAGCTCTTCAACCAATTCGTTGACGAGATGTTCCACCAGTTGGCTCAACCATATCGCACCGTCAACAACCAACGTATTTATATCAAAGCAAGCCAAGCCACCGTCAAGAACATTGCCAGGGCCTTTGCACAATCCAACTTATTGGACATCGAGCTTGCGAGGCAAACCCAAGCATTCTACATCGAGCCAGAGAACCTGCTGACCATCACGGTCCCCACGGGATTGAGGAAGAAACCGATCTATCGTGGCGAGCACATGGGCACCTACCTGATCTACCACAAAACGAGTTGGGAATCAGTTGCCAAAATTCTCGCGGAAGACTGCATCCGCCCGGCAACTTGGACAAAAAACGAAGCCGGCGTCCCGACTCAATACCCATGTTACGGGTTCTTCGGTATGTCTTCTGAGATCGCTGACATCGACACCCTGCCGGGCTATGCTGTCAAGATTTGCACCTCTCAGCTCTATCGCATAGGGAAAGGACAAAACCCATCTGGCCTATTGGCCATTTGTCGCTCACCCAAATGCATCCGCGCCCTAGCTGGAGGAAATGACCAAATTCAACGCTTGTGCAACCTTGCGGGCATCGCCAAGGGCAAAGACAATGCAACGGCTATGAACTCCAGCGCCGCATCCATATGCTATGTTGCCTCCACTCATTCGGTTTTCCCGGGCTTGATCACACACCAGGCAGCGGAGACAAATCCACCCTCGGAACCTCCAGATGATCCTGCACGTCCAGTACGACCTGACCCTCCTGCCGACGCACCAACACCTACGGACCCACCTCCATACGACTCGAGACACAACTGGCCACCACGAGACCACCGCGTCTGGCTCTCGAGATCATGCTCGCCGATCTTGGCACGACAATGCCTCTTGGGACAACTCAACCTACAGCCGTCGAGATCGCCGATCTTCCCATCACGAAGGCCACTCTCGAGACCAACACCGTGAAGGCCAACCTCGTTCTCGACACTCGACATACCACTCCAGATCTCGTTGGTGACCTTTTTACCTTTGAGGAGCACCGGAACAAGTGTCGACTATTCTACGACAGCGATCCAGTGAGCCTAGTGGCCCCGCCCGATCTTTTTGGAGTAACAATGCTTCTCCCGATATTCGGTATTGATGCCACTTCTTCCCTCAAAAGGTTCGTGAACCGCTGCATGCTCATGATCTTTGAACCTTGCGCCAGCGTCGTATTTCACGTTACGTTTCACACACAGGGACCACGTACCATGTTTCACACCGTTTCAATCACACACCACCCTCGTCTCACCTTGACCCTTCACCGCAGCTTTCAGTCGGTCCTTCGAGCTTATTTTGACCTATTATTTCGTGGCTCCGTCTACATCATGGCGTCCCAAGACCTGATCTCCCAGTTCAGCCCCGACGTGAACGGAATTCCTCCTTCCCAGCCGGATCGCTCTCGCACACCTCCCCGTCATCAACATGGATGGCACCAAGCAGTACCTGCGTTCCGTGGCCCGATGCACTATGCAATGGCGACCCATCGACCTTTCTGGAACCCGTCCGGAATACCGCCTCCGCCACCTACAGCTACGTCGTTCCCAACGCGCCCACCATGGACTCCACCTACGGCACCTTTTCCACCTACACCGCCTCCACTTTCCCAGACACCTCCCAACAATGCCAACTTTGCACCTCAACGTCATCCTTTTACACCGAGATCGCCGAGACCTATGTCATCCCCGGGAGCAAGTTCTACTGTCAACGAAGGGTATACATGCCGACCAATTGAAATCCCACCAGTGGAGCAATGGAAACCTGATGTCGACTTCCACGACTCCAACAAGATCAATGGTTTGGATTTCCCTTCCAGAATCCGACAGAGCAGGTTTTCAAGCTACAAAGACATTGAAGGTATGGATCCTTTACAAGTCCCACTCTGGAAGTTTTTGTACCAGGGCTTACACAATACCTGGCTCCGTCGTGTTGCATACGGAAGAGAAACCTTCGTCCTCCCTTTTGACAACATAGGCACTACAGTATTTGTGGCTGAATTGGTATCACAACTACGCACACGCAATGTGGATTTGGACAAACTTGCTACCTTTCGAGCTCGATCAGCAGGCCAATGCCTCAATCAGAAGGAAGCCACTCAAAACATGGCCAAAGACGTCGCTCAACTTCTCCAATCTTGGCTCCCGGCTCAACCCTCCGCGGACGTGGCGAGCCAACAACGCATTCTTGAACTGGAAGCTGAACTGGCCAAGGTAAAATCGGCCGCCA